AGTCAGGCTGGCCACCTGGCTCCAAAGACAGACGCTGTGTGACTTTGGGCCTAGAGACGTCCCTCTCTAGATCTGAAGTTTTGCACCTGTTCATTTTAACCCACCACCCTCTGTGTCCAAAGGAGCCTGCCTGACCCGTTCTCTCCTGAGGGTAGGACCAGAGTGGGTGCCGTGGGGGTTGACGTGAGCTCTGCTGAATTTGCCCACCTCTGGAAAGCCGCCGTCTCCCCCCTCCTTCCCTCCCTCCCTCCCACAGGACTCAGGAGGATGGAGAGCCTGGGTGTTTGTGAGCCGGCTCAGGTGTCCCGGGAGCCTTAGCATTAGAACTTAGGTTGCTGTTATGAATGACACGATTTATTTTCCATCTCCGCTGCAGCTTCCCCCACCCGCTAGAAGAGAGAAAGTAAATCCTTTTTAAATTCTAACCAGTCGGAGCTGAAACTAGAAAACAGAATTTTAAATATTTTAGGGGAGGCCGCTCCAGTTCCCTTTTCTGAACGTGCGCGGTGACCTTTAAAAAGTGGTGTGGCGTGAGCATGACCTGCCTCTGGAGAGTCCCTTTCTAGAAGCAGGTGACTTCTGTGGGTGGGGAGCAGTCCCATAGCCCACCTGCCACAGGCCTGTCATTCTTCAAGGTGCTTTGAAACAACTGTCTTGTTTGAGTCCCATCCCTGGGGGAATATTAATCCCATTTGTCAGATGTGGAAACTGAAGCCCAGAGGGGTCAAATAACACCCCCAAAGGTGGATAAAGTCTAAGGAAAGAGCTGCAAGGAGACTCGAGCTCCCAGTTGTGACAGATGCAGTGATGACACCGCTCAGGAGAAGGAGGGCGGGGGAGGGAGGGGGTGGCTTTGCAATGCAGGAGCCAGGGCTGCACAGAAAACTGGGGGAAACACTTACTGCAGGAGGCTCAGCTGGGGGAGCCGGGGCAGGTGCCCCAGCAGGGTGTCCAGGCTCTGGTCACCCAGCACCACGCAGGACAATCTGTGAGACAGAACATCTGAATGACACGGGGAAGCCTTGGGGACAGCTAGGAGCGTGGCCACACAGCCAGAGCCGGGCCCCAAACATTCCCTCTGAGCACCAGGTCCCTGTGTGATCACGGCGGCTAGCGGGAGAGGAAGGTCATATGCGATGGGAAATGCTGGGTTATGCCAGACTCGTGTTCTTTGACTTCTAAGAAGAGTGCTTTTTGCAGCGTTGGCTGCAGTGCTAATAATAATAATAATAATAATAATAATAACAACAACAACAACAACAACAGCAACAACAACAATAATAAATCGAACCAAAACAAAAAATACTGGAAGCAGCCTGCATGTCTATCTAGATTCTGGTGTGTGTGTGTGTGTGTGTGTGTGTGTGTGTGTGTGTCTGAATAATTTGTGGCACAAGCAAACTGTGGAGGGTTAGTATCAAAAGGCACGAATATGCTAACACCGCGTGCAAAACACAAGCCATCAGGGACAATGAAACATTGATGGGATATTTGATGATTTTAATAGGTCATAAAATAATGTTGCTATTTTAGGGTCCAATGACGTTGACTACCTTTAGTTGTAAATCCTAGCTCTAGAACTCTCTCCCTCTGGCTCTCCCTCTCCCTCTTCCTCTAAGAGACCTTTCCCTCGGATAATCAGCCACCTCCGAGGCAGCAGAAACCAGGCCTGGGTAACGGTCCGGCTAAAATCACATCTTCACCTGCTAAGTTTCAGCTCCTGAGCCCTAAGGTGGAACAGACCCCCCGGCTACTTTCCCATGAGACCAGACAGAGGGACCCTGGGAAACACCTCACAGCTGTGCTCAACACCCCGAGAAATGACTCATTACCTCATCTCCGCCCGCCAGCCAGCTCCCAGCACAGCCCCAACCCTAACGCCCCCGTCCTGGGATTTTGTCCCACAGGGTCTGCAACCCACACACCACGGGGCAGTTCTGCTTCTGAGCTTAGCCTCCGTTCTCCTGGAGGGGCACTCGGAATAAAACAGCCCATCTCTCTCCCCTGCGGTCCTCGGGGTCAGTATTTGGCTCTGCGAGCACCGGATGGACAAACCCTTTCTGTTCTGTAACAATTGGGTTTTGTTTTTAAAAATTAAAAAATAGAGTGCCCGGCTGGCGTGGCTCAGTGGTTGAGCATCAACCTATGAACCAGGAGGTCACCGTTCAATTCCCGGTCAGGGCACATGCCCGGGTTGTGGGCTCCATCCCCAGTGTGGGGTGTGCAGGAGGCAGCTGACCAATGACTCTCTCTCATCATTACTGTTTCTAGCTCTCTGTCCCTCTCCCTTCCTCTCTGAAATCAATAAAAATATATTTTTAAAAAATGAGGTGTTGGGGGTGCATGCGTGTGCCCCTGTGTGCTCTGGGCCGCGGAGTGATGACTTCCGGAGGTAGGTAGAGGGGAACTAGGCTCCACCACACGACTCTCTCCGATTGTCTATGTGCTTGGTAGTCTCCATAACGAAAGTGTTTTCATTACTGAGGCTTCCAGCAATGGGCCAGGGAACTCTCAGGGGGTTGGGCTGTGAGGTCCGGTGGGAAGGAACCAGGAAAGATTCACCCCTGCACCCCCAGGTGACGGGGTAGATTCTCGCATCTGCGGCTGCGTCCTCCTTACTGACCTGACTTCCAGAGGCCCGGGGCACGTCTCCAGAGCCTCGCAGAGGTGGGTGAGGCTCAGGGCCTCCAGGCGACACTCCCT